ATGGACATAGCTTTACATTCCTTTGTTGCCCTAAATATGCTGCACTAGTTACACTCACAGACTTCTGCTTTTGCTCTCTTCCTGTCGTGTCCTCCCTTGAGGCTCACACGAGGCGTAATTAGGCGGTGACATCTCGGCCTTGACTACCGCTAAAAAAATTGGCGACGCAGATTCAGAACTCACTATTTCCATCTCCATAGAACAATTGCTAACTATTCTGCAGCAACAACAAACTCAATTCAAGACGGCAACAAGTTCACCGCCCACCAACTGTGGACACGCAAGGATAGCAAAAGGACTTCGCTTCGGCCCGACGGGTAAGTGGCATTTAAGAGTGCGACCTCATTCATTGAGCCACAACTCAATGTCCACGATTGTCATGATTGCACATAAGCTCGGAAGGCAAATTGGCTTGATTCATACACAGGGATGAGAAGACGCCATAGGGGGCGAATGAAAAGGCTGGGCTACGGCAAACTTATAAAATTTTGTCATGATGTAGTTCGGTTTAAAACTTCGGATTGTCGGCGCTGAGGTCGGAGGAATTTCCTGAGTCTACAAGCAAAACAAAATCCAGGCCGTCATGCATACAACCTTTGTGCCATACAGTTAGAAGACCAAACCTTCCGCCCGTAGAAGGCATTCGTACGGGCCCCACTTTCAGCTTTTGGGGGCACGGGCCACTGAGGGACGGAGGGCATAAGTTCGGCGACTGTGGCAGACACCCCTATTCACACGCATGCATGCATCCCAGACAGCCAGTACGGAGCGTTTAACAAATAGAAGACAGACATGCAGCTGCCAATCACTCACCTCAAGTTCACGTTCATCAAAGTACTGCAGCCACTGTAGGGGGAATACGTCGGCAAAGCCGGTGAGGAAGGCCTCCATCTGTTCCTCCGTGCCCCGAGTGAAACGCCAATTAATCATTGACCTACGAAAAGGAACAAATTGGACAAAATAAAGGTAAGGAACGAAGCGGGGAAGAGCAATAGCAATACTAGTGATCCTAGTTGGGCAAAGCTGAATACCTAATATTTGGCAAACTTGATCACAGACACACACACATAGACACACACTCACGTTATGTACTCCTCCTTGTTTGCGTCCGTCACCTTGATGTTCTTC